ACTTCAGGGAGCAATTTTACTAAAAATTCATAAAAAGGTCAGGCCAAGCCTTTGGAGTTGTGGGGCCATAAAAATCCATTTAGGCACTCTCAGTGTCTTGCTTTAAATTAACTCATGCAACAGAAGAAAACAAAATAAAATCAAGTGAAATTTCTCCTCAGAAAAAATTGAGTTTTAGCTACCACTACCATTGAGGGAGGCAAAAATTATTACGTAAAACATTTTTTTTGCAAAACGTCAGCCATCAACCAGAAAATTTTTAAGAAGGATGAAATTTTTTAATTTTTAAGTGAGGGTTCTGCTGTAAGTTTTGGGGATATATTTGTATTAAGTAATTATATAAGTTTAGGTTTTATTATGGTACCATGAAAATGCTGTGTAGAAAGAAGAAAATTTTTTTAAATATATAATAGAAATATCTCAAAGAAAGTTAAAAAAATCTATTACATCCATAGAATAAGAATTCAATTACATAAAAATGTTAAGGGGGATGAAAAAAAGAGCTTAAAGATAAGATAGCAGAAATGAAAAATGCAATAAAAAGCTTAGAAGATAAATTTAAGGAAATGTCCCAGAAAGTAGAACAAAAGACAATGAAAAGAAAGGACACAAAAGATAAAATAAAAACAGAAAACAAGCACAAGAAACTCAATAGCAGAGTAAAAGAAACTCCAGAAGAAATAAAGAATAAAGACAAAAAGGATGAAATCATCTACCAAACAATTTGAGAAAAATTCCTAGAACCACAGGACATGAGTTTCAAGAATGAAATTACCCACTGAGAACACAGCACAATGAGTGATAACAGACCTACAACATCAGGAAATTTAGAAGCCTAGGAACCAAGAGAAGATCTACAAGTTTCCGGAGGAGAGAGAGAGGAAAAAAAAAAAAAAAAAAAAAGGCTACCACCACCTACAAGAGATCAAGAATCAGAATGGATTAAGGCTTCTCAACCGTAATTCTGGAAGTCAAGAGATAACAGCCAGGCCTTCAAAATTCTGAAGGAAAAAAGTTTTCAACCTAGAATTTTATACCCAGCAAACTAACCAGAAATTTACAAAACAAACTAGCAAGCACGCCTCTGAAAGACTGAGTTACTGATGCCCTAGGATATTCAGAGGTCAAAGTGAGATCATTGTAAAATTCTGTTTCGAGTATGTGGAACGTATTTTCTGACATGTAAGAGGTGAAATCTTTTTCTTTCTATCTATCCTTTCACAAAAGGAAACTAGAAAACATGCCATACCAAAATGAGGAGGGAAACCCAAGGAAGAGGAAGAAGAGTATGGGGTAAAGGTCACAGGGGTTCCAACACAGAGAGGTCTTACTGGCAGATTGTCAGTTGTCTTATAGTATCAAAGTTTTCCTCATTGAAGTGAATGCTCAAAAACCTTAATAGAACATGATTCTAATAAAAGGAAAAAAGGCAAAAATTATTACTCTGACCATGTCATTAATAGTATAAAAATAAAACTCACTTACAGAATTAGCTGTGCACTGTCATGTCTCCGACGTGTTATAAGAAACTTTTCCCGCCAGTCTACAAAGCTCTTCAACACGTCACCAGCACCTCCATTTAGGCTGATCAGATTTCCATTTGTCCAGATCTCCAGTCCAACCAGCACAATTCGAATATTTAACATAATGTACATCTGGGAAGTAAACATAAATAAAAATATATAAAATACATTAAAGAATATGAGAATAACTCAGGGGTATATATTTTATATAATTAAAAAAAATTAAAATTCTAATTCAAAAAGATATACACACTCCAATGTTCCTAGTAGCACTATTTACAATAGCCAAGACACAGAAGCAACCTAAGTGTTCATAAACACATAAATGAATAAAAAAGATGTGGTATACATACACAGTGGAATACTACTCAGTCATAAAAAAGAATGAAACCTTGCCATTTGCAACAACATGGATGGCCTTGGAAGGTATTATGCCAAGTGAAATAAGCCAGACAGAGGAGGTCAAATACTGTAAGGTATCATTTATATGTGGAATCTAAAAAATACAACAAACTAGTGAACATAACAAAAAAGAAGCAGACTCACAGAGAACAAACTAGTGGTTACCAATGGGGAGAGAGAAGGATGGAGGGGCAATACAGGGGGAGGCGATTAAGAGGTACAAACTATTATGAATAAAGTAAGTTACAAGGATCTATTGCACAATACAGAGAATATAGCTAGTATTTTATAATAACTATAAATGCAGTATCACCTTCAAACATTGTGAATCCCTACATTTTACACCTGTAACATATAATATTGTACACGGACTACGTCAATTAAAAAAAAAACAACATAAAGAATATGAGAATATCTTTTAACTTATAATTAATACAACTATTTAAATTAAAAGCAGGACTCCTCTCCTCCAATAAAAAGTTCTCTCAATACAATGAGATTCTAATCTCTCAAGGGTCTCAGTTTCCTCATGCATAAGCAAAAGTAATAAAAGTTCAAAATTCTTTTTAATCTTCCTTTCAAAAATCTGACAAACTCTGGATATTTAAAGTTTGGGGTATTTTGGTTCCAAAATTTTCCATAAATGAATGCAAGCCAATTTATCGTCCATATTTAGCTCACCTAATGTAAATACTCATCCATTTCACTGCAGAAACATCAATGAGTTTGAGTACAAGGTGCTACCCCAAACTCCTGTTGGCAGTGTAATGTAATACAGAGTGACCTATATATCCTTCTTATGTAAAATTCAAATTACATGTGCCCCAAAGGTTTCAGATAAAGGTTATGGAAATCGTATTTCTTTCACAGAGACAGTGTGAGGAATAAATGTTTTCATAAGTCTAAGGCACTCAGCTCCATTTCCAACCCATTATAAATACTCAGTAGAATGCCATCGTCATCATCATCATTATTGTGCTTGGTATTCGTATTAGGGGAACAATTTAGAAATGAAATTGTAAGAGTGTGTATTTAATTCTTCAGTATTTCACAATGAATGAATGAACTCCAAAGTCTCAAACCAAACCCCTCCCTCTCTCTCTGCCTCAGTCCTTCCCTCCCTTCCTCTCTCCTTCCCTCTCTCTCTCTCTCTCTCTCTCTCTCACACACACACACACACACACACACACACATTGCCATATTATGGTTTCCGAGTAGGAGGCAGCCTTATTTAAAATAAGATTCTCTCAGTAAAAATTCAAAGATCTTTTCATAAATGCCAAAGTACCCTAGCCTCCCTAGAGAAATAAAATTCATATTTTATGGCAAGACAAGAAAACTTTAGGGGTAGGGTATAGGTCAGTGGTTAGAGGGCGTGCTTAGCATGCACAAGGTCCGGGGTTCAATCTCTAGTACCTCCATTTAAAGAAAGAAATAAACCAACCTAATTACATCCCCATCCCCAAAAATTAAATAAATTAATTAATTAAATTAAAAACTTTAAAAATTCTTCTCTGTCCTTTGGCCTCCTCTCTCCCCCAACTACGCATTGCATGTCTGCGTCACACATCCACCAAACCTCCCCCGTCGGCAAAAATACCTGCTCAATCACAAAAAGCAACATTTTCCTAGATCAACAAGATAATTCCTTAAAGATAACATTCCTTCTTGATCTCATAAGGCATCACATGACCCACCAGGATGACACTTAGCTTAGATCTGGATTCTGTAAACTGTCAACAATACATCATTTGACGTGCAGCCCTCTGTCTCAAAACACTTCTATAACTGTGTCTTGACTTCTAACTGGTGGAACAGTCCTCAGGGATTTCTGAGATGCTCTTCCCAGGTTATGATCCTCAAATTCGGCCCGAATAAAATCTTCGATTTCTTTTTTAGACCAACTGATCAATTTTTCGCTGACTCGACTCTAAAGTAGATGCTAATTTGAAATTTCCCGTCTGTCTCAGAGACTCTCAACAATTACACTTTCCTTTTAAACATAAGAAAAGTTAGGGAACAAATTAGAAAGCAGGTCCCTGAAAAACTGAGTTACTTAGGCTCTAGAATAATCAGAGCTCAAAATGAAACAACTCTGAAGTGCTGTTCAGAGCCTGTGAAAGGGGAGGACAGAATAGTCCCTGTTGATAGAAAATCCGACTTACGCTGTCCAGGCAGTTTGCCAAACGAATCATCTCTGCTCGCACTGCAGTCTGATTTCTTCCCATCGCGTCATACTGAAAATCAAAGAAGGCAAATCATTGTTACCAAAGTAATTTAAGAAAAAAAAATTTATATTCTCTCATAATGAAGAATCCAAATATTTCCTCTGAACCAAAAATTGAAGCATTTAAACATTCTCCTGCATTTCAAACGAATACGTCTAAAGGGTACATTTTAGTGACAAGTAGAAATAAAAGAAAAACAGGTACATATGTGAAGTGAATCCTAATGAAAAAGCATTGAAACTTTAATTTTCTCCAAATTAGTACAATTTTAAAATGAGTTTTGCTCTTAATGGTCTTTTTATTCATTTTAATGCAAAAACATTTTCAAGCATTTCACAGAGGTAGTTTAAAACAATCAAAACACTTAAAGGAATAAAAGACAATCTAAAAGATTTCCTGATCCTTTCACCTCCAAGGCCAAAGACATTTCAATAACCCATTTCTAAACTCTGGGCTAAATTAATAATCAGAAATTAGCCACTGTTCACTAGTGGAAACATTATACATAGATAGAAATATAGAGTTATATGAAATTTTAACCATTTAAACCAAAGAATTGATATGACATTCATTTCTTTGAGAACTGGCTAAATCCAAATGTCTATTTTAACATTATTTTAAAACAACCAATTTAATAACTAATTACAAGAAAATTTTAAAAAGAATGAGTGGTTTTGCCCTGTGATAAGGGCATTCATGCCAGAATATATCAGATTTTTTCAATTAGGCATTTTACCATGATTCTCCTAATCAAGAAAAAAAATTTTAATACATTTGACAAGCTTTGATTAGAACAGAACCATTTTTATTTTGAACCATTTTTCTACCTATCTGGAGAGAGTAATAAAGAAAAACATTCCAAATCTCTATTTTTGTCACTTGTCCACAACATTCTACAGGAACTTTCCACTCATCATTTGGGACAGAGTTCATGCTTGTTCACACTGCCTTATGAGTCTTCCTTCCACACTTGAGGGTAATGAACCTACTATGAACAAATCCGAATGTATATCTACTTCTTAAAAATATGAATTTTTTTTCTTACCTCCATAGAATAAGGGATTTTTCTAAATCATAAAAATCCTCAAAACTTCCTCTTACAGCTTACCAGAAAGGAATTGTCAATCAAGTTACATTTCTACAAACAATTTTTCATACAACCAACCAAATTGGCAGTAATTTTGTGAGACAAAACATTTTAAATAATCTATTGGTAAAATTATACAGTGGCTATATCTAAAATTGATCATTCTGAAAATGCTGAGATAGAGATGTTATTCTTAGTTAAGTAAAGCACAACTTTTAAGTTGATGAATAAGGAAAACGCCCTGGTGTTGTCCCTTAGAGTGAAAGTGACAATAAATGCTGAGAACCATTCTCCTCCATTCCCCTCTAAAGCACGCCAGGAATGGAGGTTTCCCATCTCTTAAAGTAAATTATGGGTTATCCCAGATCCTTTCCACAGAGCAGGCTAAGAGGGTTAATTAGAAGCTAAGATGCAATAAATCAATAACTGGAAAAAAAAAAAGTGAAGTACCGGTTAGCCGAAATTCTAGCAAACAAAGCATTTTATAAGGCAAGAAAGCAATATCTGATTAACTGAGTTTATTACCCCAGTCCTTTAAATTAATCTGAAAAGGTCTCCACATCCTGAGAAAGCAGTACAGTTGCACTTAACAACTTCAGCAGGTGCCAATCACCCGAAAGGACAGGAAAAGTAAAACAAAGTCACTAGTGAAAAATACAGGTAGACGTAAACTCATTTGCTACATTCAGCATCTGGAGGTTATTATGAATATTAAGTATGTTTACAGGAAAAAAAAGTCAATTTTAGTTTTCATTTTTTTTTTTTTAATTTTACAAACCCTTGTGTCGAGGGCTGACTTTCAATAGATCGCAGCGAGGGAGCTGCTCTGCTACGTACGAAACAATTTTAGGTTTCAAATTACATTTAAGAAAAATCAACACAGATACACAATATTGCGTATTTCCTTCATGGGATGCTCACTTCTCGTCTGCTTTTCATGAAAAAGAAAAAAAAAGCTGTCACCGATCCTACCTTTTCCTTGTCTACAACAATGAGCAGCTCCACGTAGCGGGTCTGGGGCAGGACAGCTCTTCTTCTCTGTCAAAAACACAAACAACATAAAGGCAAAAAAAAAAAAGGTGTAAGTCTATACGTTCTTCATACACAATGATCTTACCTTAACGTCTAGTCATTTATTTCATGCCTGCTAAGAGCTTCAAAACATGATTTTACTTAACACGTCCTAAATCAATAAAGCCAAAAACACTTTTTTTAAAGTGATTATCTATCATCTGTACTGATCTGAGAAAAATTCTAGTTAAAGATAATACGAGTTATTCAAGTTTCCAAAGCAGAATTACCGATTTTCTAACATCAGAACTACACACACACACACACACACACACACACACACATATTTCAATAGGAAATCCCCTACTTTGCTGAGAGTGAGAGAAAAAATACCTACTAGTCCCCGAGAGCAGAAGGGCGGACAAGGTTTGCCGTTTAATTTGTTTGTTCTTGTCTTTCATTTACTTTTTCCCCCTCTAGTTCTATTAAATTATAATTGACACCGACATACTGTCCACTTTTAAAAAATGACTAGTTTTGTGATATTATAGAAACTTATATAAAATTTAGAATGAGCTAAAATTCCAATGTTTTCCGATGATTAAAGTTTTAACAGTCTAATCGCCAAAAGAATGCACAGCGGGAGAGGCAATGAAAATAATGCCATAAACTAGTATGAGTTAGTTAGGGCCACACATCTCTCCCAACCCGGCAACATCATCTCATGATGCAGAAAGCCGCCTTCCTGCAGCCGAGGTTGCTCTAGCCCTAGAAATGGTTCAGTCTAAGAGATCCCTGTGTGGAGAAAGCCAGGGAATCCAAAAGAAGCCTCAGCACATGAAAATGAAAATACGTACGCATATGCAGGACTGGGACATTGTGCTGTACACCAGAGATTGACACATAGTTGACTCAACTTCAATTAAAATTAATTATTTAATTAAAAATTTAAAAAAATAAAAAACTACATGAATGCATGTAAAATTATGACTGTATTCAATGTAATTTAAAAGAGAGAGAAGAAAAAAAGCAGCAGCAGCCTCAGAACAGGGATACAAGTGTCCCTGAAAGACATCTGAGGTCACTGAAGCCCTAAAAACCCAATCTCCCTCTCTCTGTTGAGCTCAGTTTAGAGCCCCAGAAACATCATTCCAGTTTGTGTAAAAGGAATCCACATTCTAGGAAAAAAAAAAAAAAAAACTCCACTGCTCTCTAGTATGCAGCTATGACAAAAAGAAATAGGATTAGTGTTTAAGACTTAAGCCCTAGTTTTCAGAACACAGAAGCCCGACTGCACGCAACTTGGTGGTGGGAACTGCGTGCTGCCCATCTTTTTACCCACTGGTACCCACCACAATGTCTGGCACGCAGTTGGCGAAAGCACAGTCATGACAGGTATTGGTTTAATGCACAAACACACGATTATTCGAAACTTTAGTCTGAGCCATGAAGAAAAACATTATCTCCTTACTCGAAGTAGCTGAGTGATGTGATGAGGCTGGTCTTCTTCATCCCATGTGATTTCTTCCTCTACATCCTTGCCGGAAACCCCGCACTTCAGAGGCTCTTTGTGGACATTGTCCATTCGATACAAGATGTGCTCAAAACGAGAGCTGTTTTGCAGGGGCTCGATTCCATAACTGACATTCTCGATATGCAGCAATCCTCTAGTGTCATGTGACACATTCCCAATTTTTGAGAAGGAAAAGAAAAAGAAAAACAACAACAAAAAAATACACAGGAAAAAGGAATCAGAAAACCTGAATTCAAGTCCTAGTTCTCAACATAAGTAAGACACGATAGCAGGGTACTGAGAAAAACAGAGAGGTCTTAGAGTCAAGCAGACCTAAATTTATAGCTCAGGGCCGCTACTTCCTTGCATCACTGCCTGAAAGTTACTTAACCTCTGGGAAGGACCACCGTATAACGAAAGGCAATTCAGAATAATGGCTAAAAGCATGGAGTCTGGAGTCAGAGGACCAGAGTTCGAATCCCAAATGTTTCCTGCTAACCACAGGACTCTCCCCAAATTATTTAACTTCTGCCTTAACCTTCTCCATGGGGCTATTCTGAAAACTAAGTTATCTAATAGGCGCAAAACACTTAGAACATTGCTTGGTACACAGCACCTATTTTATAAGCATCATTACTTACATGGAGAAAATCACAGGCTTGGTAGATAGTTGGTTTGAGAATTGAAAGTAATATTTATTCGTTCAATCAATCATGCAACCAGTCATCTACCCCAGTGTCATACTGCCAGGGCCTTCATAAATTTAATTTTAATATTACTCTCACTTCACTTGGTATATGATAAAAATATGGAGAAAAAATGAGCCCCTCTTCATGGTCATTATGAGACTTAAATGAAAGACTATATGTGAAAATTTTCTAAAACTAAAGGATCACAGAAATTTAAAGTATGCTTTACTTTAAATAGCAAAACTTACTTAGCAGTCTCAAAAAATGAAATTTTTTGTTTAGCTATTAAAATTCATCAACTGTAGTACCATCCTAAACAAACATGCCAAGAATGGTACCTGAGCCGTAGCTCTAAATTAGATCCTCAGACACATCAAAGTAAAATCTACATTTACGCCCCACCAAATGACTCGATTTGGAGACAGAGATAAGTAAATGAGAAAGAAGGGAACAGAAAAAAAAAAAAACCAAAAACTGATAAAGAATATTCCTTACCTGAGTCCAGAACAGTCACTAAGAGCAATGGATGAATCATAGACTCCTTCCACATATCCCCGATAATGGCAATGATTCTATAATGATAAAAACTATATTATCTTCAAATACTGTTAGGCTGCTGAAAATCATCACAGAAATTGCAGAATCAACAGAACTATTTAAAGTCACTAAACTGAAAATTTTATTTGCATCATCGGCATCTCATAATAACACACAGCATTCTTTGGACTATCTTCAGACTGTCCACCATCACCCTGCAGCTACACAAATATTTAGGCAGAATTCCAGAGGATACTGAGTACAAACAGCTCTACCCCCCAATAACCTTTAAACCTAGAAGCAGATCAAGATAGCGTTACAACATGTTTAACATTTTAAATCACAGGCAATTCAAGACACAACAGCCAACTGAAATCGGATACAGAAGAGGACCTTGTGACAGGCCAATGATGCCAAGGGAAAAAAATTTCAGTTACTGCAAAAAAAGGGACTTTGATCAGGTGATTTTTCTTTTCTTCCTATAGGTATATTGATTATATTATTACTATTTAGTTATACATTTAGCATCTTTAAAAACTAAAGAGCTTTTATCCTTAATCTTGAGCAAGAAATTGACAAGCATATCACTTACTAATATCAGACTTTTTGTGCACACAATGAGGTTTTTATCATCTTTAAAGTAATTACAAAACACCAAAAAAAGAAGCCAAGGGGAGTGGGAGGAAGGGGAGGACGTCACGACACATCACCAGGCCTCAGTAATTAAAACAGTATGGTACTGGTGGTGCATTAATTGAGAGACCAACCAACGGGGCAGAATACAGGTTTCAAAACAGACTGAAATACATATGGAACTTTACAGGATAAAAGTGGCATCTCAAATCACCGAGGCAAAGATGTACTTTTTAATAAGCAGTGCTCAGTCCACAACAACAGAGTCGGGAATCAAGTCCAAGCAGTGTGTGTCACCAAAATCCAGGCCAAGAAACCTCTCCAAGAGGAAAAAAAAAGCCTTTTTAAGATCACTGCTTTTGTGGAGTGGCATAAATTATGTGATCTTTGGTCTCATGCTGTAATAACCTTCAGATGGATGGCTGGCTGGATGGATGAATGGATTATGTGTGGTCTGGTTTATGCTATCACATACATTTAAGCTCCTCTAACTCTTCTGCTATTAAACAATGGACAAACAAAATACTACGATAAAGGAATTAGAAAATGGCCCAGAAAATGGTTTAAGTCAGCATTTCCTTGTTTTTTTAAAGTACAAATAATTAATCTAAAATAAAGGTTTTGCCTTCTATTTATTTGAAGAGTGCTGCAAAAGTGCATAACTCACATTAACAATTCCAGCTAGCAAAGCTTTACAAAGCTCAGGGGAAAAATAATACATGGTTAATGAAAACAAAGACTTCTTAAGAAAACTATCGCAAAAGAAAATAATATATAATACCTAACTGCCAAAAAGGACTGTAAGACACTCTTTCCAAATAAAACTAGAAATGTCGACGCTCTAATTAAATAACACATAAAGCCAAATTTGACGTCTGTCAATTATTTCAAGTATTCCTGGCTAGTTTTGTCCTCAAGACTACTCTATTCTCTGATGCAAAGAGGACCATACTTCTCTAGAAAAGAACTGTTTTTAGCAAAAAATTAGAATACATAATCGCAAACAAGTTGTTTGTTCTTTACTAAGTACTAATGGCAAATCAAATGGTTAAATGAGAAAGATGTGCATTCAGAGGTATTAACTTTTAGTAAAAAGTAAACTGAAATAAAAAATAAATCAAACTTTTCCCCCTTATAATCAGTGAGGATTATCATTAAATAGAAGATTATTTTCCTGTTCTGTAAAAGAATACTTGACTACAGAGTACCAGGAGAGCTGTAAGGTACAATTTAATCTACAGAAATGCACTCACCACTTCTACCCCAGGACAATTCCGTATGTTATAACATCAGAGGTGGCCCTTGGGGGTAGACAAAGGTAACAGTCCTAAGCACCTTTAGAAGAGAACTTACTTTAAAATTATAACTGTTTCAAATTCTGCTATAGGATCAAGAGGAAAATGTATTACCTGTGTATTAGGGTAGTCAGCAATCAGAGCCCCTTCCTTGTTGTAGGTATAAACTACAAAATCTTTGGGCAAAAGGTCTCTGCAAGAGGAATAAAACACAACATTTAAAATTATTTTATCTACTTACAACTAAGAACACAACGCATAAGGCATTAATCCTCAGAAAGATGTGCAGGAATAAAAACATTTACCCGATAAACTATTAAAGAAGGAGCTATCATAGAACTAAAAGCTCATAAACGGACTGGCATCTGAAATCACATGCACTGCTCCATCATAAAGAATAGTTAGGCTGCACATTTGTTCTCATGGTCGTAAAATGCTGGTTGCAAAAAAACACACTTAACATCCTAAAAGTTTTCTGAGACATCTCATAGGGAAAGTATAAATTAGGTTATATAGCACATCATCTTTCTAAAAGAAAATAAATGATTTTACTCTTTTAAATGTCCTATATAAAGAAACAGCACTCATTCCCTTCACCGCCTAAGTACAGGGGCAAAATCTGTGTCAGCTGTCAGAGGAAACAATTACTGCTGATTCCTGAAGCTTCCTGCCATGTTAAGGGAGATGGATGGTGTGAACTTCACGTGTAAAGACAGGGTTAGCTCTGCTAGAGAAAAATATACCCAATAACGCTTGTTGAAGATGGTAAGGCAGACTTTATCACTGAGATATGTATAGGGACCACTTCAAAGGGAATTTACAGGGGGATGGGGAGAAAAAGTCGGCTCAGCTCCAAATACAGCATGGCCAAGTGGGAACTGAAAGCCAAGAACAGGGTGAGTGTCACTGGATGGAAAATTACTAAGAAGAAATATCAGAGGTGAGGGACATCCTATCTAAACCAACCTGACAGATTCTTGCTGAAGACAGGCCAGCGTGATCAGACATCGCTGCGGGGGGTGGGGGTGGCAGGGGGAGGGGATAATGAACCTGATCAGACATCCAGAGTGATCAGATATGTGAGGAGGGGTGGAGGGCCTTGCTGAAACTAGATTTTACAGCAAAGCGCACTGATGGACCTAGGAGAAGGTTCAGGAACCTGACTAAAGTTTGCTCAAGCAAAGAGTCTTTGTCTCCCCTCTTGTTCAAGAAAAGAAGAGACTTTCTTCTTTCCTCTGAGTAATACAAGCCCATTTCCTCATTCAGTTGTCTTTTGTTCATTACAGACCAGTTGAATCATTTATTGGAACTTGGTAGTAGAGGATATTTGCTGGGCGGTGCCAGCAGTCAGGAATCTAATGAGGGGAGTTGCTATGAAAATAAAAGAAAAACAAAGATTAACAGACAGAAATCCAGTTTCTGAGTCGAGTGGGCAGCGATCAGGATTTTTCAGACCTGAGTTTGGAGCATCTTCAGATGGCAGAGTGAGGATGGTACTGACCATCTGACAAATGTTCCTGGTTTGCAGTTTGAATGTCTCTGGCAATAGCATGAGATATTCTGATGAGCTACCTGAGTGCTCCAGAGAGCAGGAAGTATGAAGGCTGCTCATATGTGATCTGTTGTAATAATTTTTTTGAAGTTTCTATCAGGTCTTCCAGCTGCGGTCTGCAGAGCTTCAGGATAAGGACAGTTTTAGCTCTCAATGATTCCAAGTCAGAAATGATAAAAATTGGAATCGCTAATTTAGAGAGTTGTAGCCTGATACTGGAGAAAATCAGAAGAATTCGGGATTTGAGAAAGCTGGCAAAATGTCCAAGATGCAAGGAGCAAGGGGGGTTCATTAGAGTTTTCCATCGGAACAAAAAACATTCTCTCTACAGCCACCCCCATTTCTGTGAAAGATAATCAAAGTAACACTAATTTGTTCGCAAAAAGTAAGTCTGGTCTCATTAAACTTGGCCTGGTTGTTTACACTAAGTGCAGCAGAAACGGTGATTGACCACACAGGTCCTTGTTTGAGCTTGCTTTGCTGGGACAGTTCATAAGGAATCTGACTGTACTTTGAAAAGCTTCTCAAGGCTAAGAAGCCAAGTCAAGCACTCACCACCAGACTTTGCCTGAAATATCTAAAGATTTGGGTGAATTCCTCTCTTCTCGAGGTCCCCAAAATATCTTGAGGCTCCTGGGCCTGCCAGAAGTGACCTTCCTGACTCACCTGTAAGGCAGGAAACCCTTTAAGCCTGGTTTTTCCAAGGGAAGCTGTATGAACATTTAAGTTGCCTCCTTGAAAATCAACCTTAGTTCCTTAAAGCTATCTAATCATATATTATTCGATACATCATTCTCAAATATGACATTCCTATCAAAGCCATGGTAATAAAACCAAGGTTTCCAATTGTTTCTCATTACAAAGAGAACAGATTTTTATTGAACTTATGCAAATAACTATATTGCCATGAAAATAAGATGTGTTTAACACATCGAACAAGCCTAATTAGCTAAACATCTCCTTTTTTATAAGGAGAGAGACAAATCCTTCGAGATTTTCCAAGAGCCATCTAGGTAATCTCAAGTTAGTTTGATGTCAAAAAGATTCCACTTAGAATTTGATTTAAGGAAGCTGTTAAATATGCCATGTTTGAACAATTGACTAAATAGGATTACAGGTGTCACTGTGACACACTTAGCTGTCCATTTAACCAGTCACAATTAAAAGATTTCAAAGGCAAATACAAAAAGTTACATAGTTATTAAAAAAAATCTTAGCTTTTTTAATATTAAGATTTGGTTTTCTTAAATAATCAAAGAGCTGATAAAGACATGACACACAGGAAATTATCTTAAAAACACAAAATCTCATCTTCCCAAGCGGTTTACTTTAAGTAAATACCTTTACTTTTAAAGGTAAAGAAAAACAATTTTTTTTTTTACAATTTCCTATTTAGAGCAAACCAATAAACTAAAAAAAACCTGCCATTTTAATAGAGAGAGAACATCAAATTCTGGGTTTTTTTTTTTTTATCAGTGTACTACTAATGCTAAGGCAAATTTAAAAAAAAAAAAAGAAAAAACCTTACAAATAAATCCATCCAATATTAGCCAACTTTGACTACCTAAGGAGAGATTCCTTTCCACAAACTTCCCAAAAAATGTTTCTTATATCACTTAGGTTTTGTCCTACTTTTTTCTTCTTTCTTATTCTGAAACGACCAGTCATTCTACTTTAAGTCAAAATTATTCTCTTTTCCCCTTAGCAAAACACATTCTTCATACTCTTTCTTATCAAAAACATCTTCCTTGCATAGTTTTTTTTTTCTTTACCCTTACTATTCATAGCAGTTTCATTCACACATATTGATGGGATTTTTAATCATCAGTGACATGAATTTTCAGTAAAAATTAGGAAGCAAACTGCCTGCTACATACTACTATTTTGTAGAAAATTCATGAATACATCATTTCATAATTTCTAGAGACATTTCTTTCTCACAGTACAATTTGTCATGCTTATTAACAGACCCAAATATATTAAGCTTCTCTATACCATATAAAAATAAGATGCCAAAAGTAAATAAAATCAAATTTATCTTCAGCAGTTAATATTTCAATATTTTCTCTTATTTGGAAATTGTCTAGATAAAGATACCCATCTTTAACTTCAACTTACTATAGCTTTAAGGTTTCAAGATACAAAAAAAGTTTTGAAGCTATTTTTAAGGAGATATAAAACATAATTACTATTGCAAAGCATTTACAAAATTTTATCCCATTTACATCTATTTAATTTACTTGTTCTGAGCAATTAGGCTTGAATTACTCATGAAAATTTCATGAGACATTAATGAAACAAAGCTAGCCATCCACCATCTTAAGCTGTTTCTCCTAAGCTGATTTCTGACAAATCAGGCCAGTATCAAAAAAAATAAAAGCAAAGAGCTAAAAAATTATATATTTATGCTTCTTCCCTTTTTTTTTTTAACTGTCATGCTTGACATCAAGCAACTTTTTTACTATACATTGTGTTCTTAGTATGGATTTATAATTTGTGGCCTTAAATATCTAGTAGAGCTAACGTAAGCTTGCTTGAACAGTAAACGTAGATAGAAAAAATTATATATCTGCATTCCATATTTAATGCTGACAACTCTGAAGCTGTCAGAGTTGATGGACAATTGTATCAACAATTTAAAAGCTAGCGAAAAGATTACCTGAGATCTCTGAACTTAAAAAAACACTTGGGTTAGTTTCTGTATTCCAGAGTTTTAGGAAAACAATTTTGATAAATGCTCATTTATCTCTAAGGCGATTTGAATAGAACTCTTCAAGGGATTTTATAAATTAACATACAATACCACCCAGGGGCAGAAAACTATCACTCATCTATAACATACGTACATACATAGACATACGCAAACGTATAGACACAAATAACAGAGTTTTTATGCTAAAATTCTAGCCAGGAGTCAGTAAAACAGTCATACAATCTCATGGTTTATCTCCACTTTGTATTTTCATCTGAACTGTCTCTGGTGAATGGAACAAATTAAGATTACCTGCCTACCAAAGGTTTTCTTTTGACAAATCTTCTTTTACCGTGGTCTAAACCTTAGGTGAGTGACAGGAGACATCTAACTGCTGTCTGGATGTTTCCAAAGCCCATGTGAGTAGACAAATCATTCAGTTCTATTTCTAAATAGCCTTTTTTTCTTCTTTTCAGCCTCAAGTCGTTGCTTTCAGGGGTACCTGAGTTTCTTGAGAAGGGAAAGCCTGATGGAGGAGGGTGGAGGGAGTGGACGGAGGGATGGAGGAGGTGGGGTTTGAAATGGGACACATCAAAGGACCCAAGGGACCTGGAGGGAAGACCGACAGTGGGAAGAGGAGGCACAGAAGCAATGGGGGGAGAAGTATTCAAGGAGCCAGTTTGGGGAGACCTCAAGTTTCCCAAAGAGACCAACAAAGTTCCAAAGTATCCTCTGTAAAATCATGCCAGCAAGACAGGAAGCAGACAGAGCTGACAGAGCAGAGAGTCAGCAGGAGTGGGAGAAGAGGGGTTTCAGTTGACTGAGAAGTTCCAATGGGAGAAGACAGAATCCAACAGGGAGACTCACAGAGTCGAGAAGGGACTTCCAACCCATGGAGCCAGGGAATAATCCCCACCCAGAGCAAGGAGCCAGGAAGGCCTGTCAGCTGTTGAAAGAAGCCTGAGACTCTAACCCAACCTCAGTCTACTCAACACCTTCCGCATCAAGTCGGTCCTTACCAGCTTCAACGGAGGTTTGCCCAGAGCAATGGTTCAGGAGTCAGACTCACCAATGGATCCCCGATCAATCAGTCAGGACTGAAGACAAAGGCTTCAACCGTGCCTACCTAGGGTCCAGAGTGAGAGGTCTGGGGGTCCAGTGATGAATCTGATCCTATTCGAGTCACAGCACCATGACTGTCAGAGAAAAAATACAGTCAATGACACTTGTTAGACGGTGAGGCCGATCTGATTCAGACCATCACAAAGGTATGGGGACCACTGCAGTGGGATTCTACAGTGGGGGACAGAGATCAGGCTCAACTCCATACACAGCACGGGGGGGTGGGAATCTGTACCCAATGAGCAGGGTGAGGGTCAGCGGATGGAAAATTACTACGAGGAAACACCAGGGGTGAAGGAGGCTCTGGCTAAATGCACCTGACGGATTCTTACTGAGGACGGGTCAGGGTGATCAGACATCACCGGGGTTGGTGGGGGGATGGTGAAGGATGAGGAACTTGATCACATGTTGCGGGTTGGGGGTTCTTGCTAAAACTGGATTTTCAAAGGAGTGCACAGATGGGCCCAGGAGAAGGCTCAGCAGCCTGGCCAAAGTTCAGTCAAGCAAACAACCTTTGTCGTGTGCAGCAGAACTGGGGTGGCAACAAACTTATCTCCAGGGCTTAAGGACAAGTCAGGGAGGCAGTGTGCTAGCTGGTGAATTATGATGTGCCATTTAAAGTTCTAAACTCCAGGACCAGACTGTCTAGACTGTTTAAGAGACGGAGAGATTGATGGCTTGCATGCATTTGAATCAGTAACACAGCCAGGCTTTAGCCATGTAACCGGGATAAGTATAAAAAGACCCCTCCTGTAAACCTGTGCCTGCGCCACCCTGGAAAGCCGAGGCTTCCCTCATGTCTCAGTGGTTTGTAATCTGAAGACAAAGCACATACCAGCAACTGAGAAAGGACCTTGGGGGGCTCTGCCTGGGGGTTTTTGAAGCCCTGATTACCTGTGCTTTCTTTGTCCTGATGTCCTGTATCCTTTACCTTTATGAAAGTCCCCTTAGTGAGCTGCCTGCCACTGTGCTGGGCTGACAGGAGTGGCTGAATCTGCCTAACCCTGGGGTCACTACTGGCAGGTCCATCAGGCTCTTGTTCCATGATAAATCCTCCAACCCAGTCCTTAATAAGAAAAGTGATTATTTTCACCTTCTATCTAACTCGCCCTCTGAATGTATTTTAAATTTGTCCAGCACAGAAAGAGAAAAGGTGTGCTGTCTTCTGCCCCAGAAACCCCCAATGGTAATAATTAGGTACACCCAGCTACAAGGAAACTCCACAGCTTTTACCAGACTCTCAAGGGACTCGTGACCCTAAAAAGAAAGTTAAGAACATTTTTCTAGAGGCAATGGGAGGAAAAAAATAAGCATTTACTCAAATAAAGTCACTCCTTCATTGATAGCTATAATGATAGACTATCCTAACTTGTTTTTTGTGATCATTAGCTTTGATGACTACCTTTTAAAGATACACAAAGACCTGGCAACTCTGACAATTGCCTGGAAAATTATCATTTGCCCACCAATTCAAGGAGCACAGGCGTATAGACCAGATGTAGCACACAGAGGTACATCACTAGATTTCCGGTCACATGACTTGGATTTGTGCCCTTCTTATAAACTATGTGATGCTAACTCAGTCAACTAACCTTCCTGAACCTTCATATTCTTTTGCATAAAGCGAGGACCACAAACATTGCTCTATAACCAAGTTGTCACGACAATATGATAAACGAGATAAAGGTGATTGAAAATGCTTTACAAGCTGAAGACTAGGCAAACATATGGAACTATTATTTTACTGAAATAATTTTAACTTACATCTCCTACAGAAAGCACAGGAGAAAATATTTATAGCTATTAGATTTTTGTACATAATGACATCATTACATTGGAGTCAAGTGGGATCTCAGGAGTCATGTGAGAACAAAATGAGTAATACATTTAAAAGCACCTGGTACAGTGTCTGGAACAGAGAAAGCCTGTCTGTCTGAAAATATCTGTCAGGCTGCCTGAAGTCCTGCCTGGGACATCTCACACCCTTTGGCTCAGCATCCTCTTCTAAGATAAAAGGTGTTATTTAAATTTGAGGGTGTTTAAAAATCATCTGGAAGGCTTGTTAAAACACAGACTGCTGTGACAGCTCCCCCAAACCTTGCTTCATTCTAGGGGTGGACCTGAGAGCGTGCATTTCTAACAAACTCCCAGGTGGTGCTGCTGCGGCTGCTGGTTCACTCTGAGTGGCATTTCCCATCCCATCATTCACATCTCACTGTGAGCAGGACTGTTAGGTGACTTTCTTCCTGAGATCTCTCACTGAAGATATTGGAAGTTTTGCTACATAGAAAAGGGAGAGGAGCACAGGATGGACCACAGGAAGGTGGGGAGCTCAGCACAGTCAGAAGCGTGGCATTTCAATAAGGCAGCGGAATAATACAGATTACCAAGGTGGGATCAGGTGAAAACATGCCAAGATGAGGGGAAGAGATTAAAAAGGGGAGTGAGACACTACTGTTATGGACTCAATATTTGTGGTCCCCCACAAATTCTCATGTTGAAGCCCTAACCCCTAGTGTGGCTGTATTTGCATACGGGGCCACTAAGGAAGCTATGATGAAATGAGGTCACAAGGGTGGGGCCCTGAGCCAACAGGATTAGTGTCCTTATAAGAAGAAACACCAGAAAGCTTGCTCCTCCATCCACCTCCCTCCCAATGCACACAGACTAAGGAGAGGCCCCATGAGCACCAGCCAGAAGGTGGCCATTTGCAACCCAAGAGGAGAGCCCTCACCACACACCAACTCCTCTGGCACCTTGATCTTGGACTTCCAGGCTCCTGTGAGAAAAAAGACTCTTTTACCCCCTGCTCAATTGTTTCTTGGGCCAGTCACAATTGGAAAGTTTTCTTAAATACAACTTTTCTCCTCCTTTAATTTAGATTTATTTTCCTTTGCTCTAATGTCCACAGAAATGCAAAGTGGGGCTTTTTCCATACTTCTACTCTTATCCCTCTCACCCTTTTATCACTCCACTGAGCAGTATCTAACTAGAAAAGAAACCAAGGTACTATTGAAGGAAAAAAAAATAATAACATTACTGAAAAGCCAAAGTAAATTAAATTTCTTACTTATTCCTTTCCAAGTGAATAATATGCTCTTTTCCTTCAGCTTGAATGACATAAGATACCTAAATGCACAAAGGAGAAAAGAACAGTAAAACACTATCTTCTAAATTACTTTTCAACAACAGGTATTTACAGGACACTGGAAATTCCACCCTGAATTAAAATAATCTGACTGAAACTATTGTATGAAAGAATCTTAAATATGCTCTTAAATAATAAAAATATACTCTGCTCATCCCTACCTTCCTTTAATAACCTATTACAGAAAGTCTCCTGCATGTTTTTCTAAACTTTTCTTAAATTCATTTATAATTGAGCTATAACTTAAGGGATTGTTTTTATTAAGTCCATCCAGTACTTCTTCCTTTTGTTTAAAGGAAATGAACTTCTTAGTTTCAAGAGATTATCCCTTTTTCTGGTTATCCAAAAGTGAGAACGAATTAATACACTTTTATGATTTTATACCTTCATAACACATTTCAATGGTTCTAGAAGACACTTTTACCCTCACAAGAACATCTGTGAAATCAGGACACATCGTACACGGGCGTAGCAGTCAAATGGGTAGCGTTCTGTTTCTTCTTTTAAGACCTTTTTTTTTTTTAATGGAGGTACTGGGGATTGAACTCACCACCTCGTGCATGCTAAGCATGTGCTCTACCACTGAGCTTACATACCCCCACCCCCGTTTCTTTCTTAATTAGAGATCCATTAAATAACTGTGTGCCTCACAATGGTGGTGTCTCGGAGTCACAGAGCTGAGATAAGGCCACTTGTGCTTACATATCTCAGCTCGCGGGGTCCTCTTCTCCACCTCAAACACTAAAACATCCTCCCCAGCAACTCACCATTTCATTAACCAGAGCCCTTAATGTGATCTCTAGAACCAGGGGATTCAACTCTGCCTAAATTCTAATAGAACAAATGCTCATGGAGGAATCAACAAATAAGAATATTATCAGAAGTGTCCTCTTAGTCTCCCTGCTGCTTCGGGCCTCTGGGTTAACGTTCTGCCAAGAAACAGCAGGATCACCCCCTCCTAGGGCACTTCAACGCCCGACTTCTGGGGCCTCTAGACCGAGGTCCAGGTTCTACTTCCACATCCTGCATGCGGACCTCAGGACTCTACTCTCTGCCTCGTCTCCACTGAGACATCAAAATACCAAGTCCCTCCCATCGTCACAGGTCTGGAGTGTGCCTTTCTATCCTTTCTGCTCTCAGCCAAACGTAGGATGCAATAACATCATTGTCGTCTCCTCTGAGAAGAATTCTGAGAGTCTAGGAATTGTTTCATGATCCTATATTCTTCCCCAAATATCTGCCTTGATTGCTCATTCCCTTCCTTCTGGCCTTCACTGTGCTCAAGGGTCACCTTCTTAGTAAGGCCTTCCCTGACTGTCCTATTAAAAAACACAAGCCCCCAGCCCATCACCCCTACCCCCAATTCCAGTGCTCCCCTCCCTGCTTTAATTTTCTCCACTGCACTTATAAGCATCTTAAGTAATCTCTGTTATTAATCTCCACCCACGAGAATGGAAGCCCCAAAGGGACATGGATTTTATCTGTTTTGTTCACTGCCATATCCCCTGTGCTTAAGTAGGGCTTCCACCTCTTCTCCAAGTATTTATCGGGGTGCCCGCAGGACACATACTACAACCACAAGTATCAATGTGTGCGGTCTGATGAAGATCATCAGAGACACCATAACGTGGAAAACAGTCCCTGCGCTACAAAGTGAAGGAAAGGGGAAAAACAATAAAGAAAATGCAAATTGACTGGGACATTGTGCTGTACACCAGAAACTGACACATTGTAACTGACTGTGCTTCAATAAAAAATAATTTAAAAAAGAAGAGAACACAAATGAATTCTATTCTAAAGGCAGAATAAAATCAAAGTGTAGCATGTCCAGTTGCAAAAACAAAACAAGGAAAAGTTACAAATTGTTCCTCTGGAAGGAGATCTTAGAGTCATTTATTCCTCATTTAAAAAGAAGTAAGTGAAGACAAATGATCTACCCAATTAGTAATCAGATGGAGGGCTAAAACTAAAAACTCCTGATGCTAACTCCAGTGTTGTCTTCACTATGCCTCATCCCAAAACAATCTGCGAGCTACCTTATAGCTAGAAATAGATCAGCATTTCAGAGGGAAATAAACTAAACTCTCTCTCTCTCACTACCTGTTACTGTTAAATTACAATAAAGTTAAATTATGCTTCTATAAAGTTGAAGAGTTCGTACAATCCGTTGATAACCAAATATATTATTTCTGAACTTTACAGTAAGAAAAAATAGTATAAAAAATAATTTGGGTCATTGGTTACCCTGTTAGCATAGTATGTTTCTTCTGATATGGAGATAAAACTCACTTCAGAGCAAACACTCCCAGATAGGAAATATATGCATGTAATACACTACTATTCTCCAGTGTCAGTGACGGTACAGCATGAAATATTCTACCTTTTACACACGAAGAGAGAGGTGAATCCTTATTATAACAAGACCACTGCAACCACTGCCAGTCAGTTAAGGGTCAGAAAACTATGTAACCAGCATCCTACCCTGGTCATAGAATTTTTCTCATCTGACTTTTTCATCTTGTTATGTTTCAAGTTGATTATTTTGTTTTTGGGGGGGGAAAAAAAGCTACTAAGGGTCCATATGTCGCTCTGACCAGAATAATGTGCAATGGATACCAGTGCCAAAATCACCGTGGGAAATCACTGCTGAAACTAACATCCTGTCTTAAAAAAAGAAAAAAAGTGAAATTTAAATACATCCATATTTCTCAAGAGACAACTTACCTGTTCTGAATGGGGCCTAGGGGCTTCCCTTCGTTCTCTAGTTAATCTCCAAGGAGTTATAATTTCATAAGAAGAGAGATGTGAGGTCTGTGAAAAACCTACAGAAAAGGGAATAACAAATGTTACAAAACAACTGAACCTGAAAAACTACACAGTTCCAAAATATAATGGAAATCAAAAGCTGAACGTTCAAATTACTGAAAACATCATCTGGCATTCCCATATAAAGATATACGTACATGAAGTTTTACAGGAAAACAGCAATGTACCAGGTAAGTATGAGCAGGGAAGAAATACATTTCTTAGAAAAGGATGTCAGCCTTTATCCAAACAGTGTACATACAGCAATCATTTTCAAACAATTTTTTGCTATAAACCTTAACCCTCTGTCTTAAAGGAAATCTTAAGGTATAAATAAAAGAAAAAAAAACTACTTTTTTTTGGAGGAGGGTATGGAGGGAAGGCATGTAGAGCCTGGCACCATTCACTCCTCTCTCATCTCACACCCTCACCCAACGTGAATGACATCCCAGATGGCACTGGGGTACTTCTACGAAATGGCTAAGGACAATAACAGGGAAAAGTTACTTTTCACTCCTGGTGGATTAACTTTAAGAAATGCACACTTAACAATGCAGTAATTATCTCAAATGAAATTATTGCCATTATCTGTCCTATAAACAAAATCTTGAATAGATAAAATTCATTAACAATGAAGAACTCAGGACAAGCATGCAAGACTTCCTCCCAGTTCCAATCTGGTACAGCTCCCCACACAGTGAAACTGCATCTAAGTGGGGCCTGAGTTTTAAAGTCATCCCTTGATGGGTGTTGGGGGAAGGATAAACTAGGAGTATGGAGGTCACAGATACACACCACTGTATATAAAATAGATAAGCAACAGGGACTTCCTGTATAGCACAGGGAACTATATTTAATATCTTATAATAATCTATAATGGAAAAGTCTGAATACATATATATATAACTGAATCACTTTGCTGTAGATTGAAACTAACACAATATTGTAAATCAACTCTGCTTCAATTTAAAAAAAAAAGTAAGATCCACTTCAAAAAAAATTGAATGAAAGAATGAGCAGAAAGCCATTTCTGGTTCACTGTCATTGAGATGGTCAAGAAGGATTTATCTCTAAATAAGGAGTTTTATTGTTAGGTTCTAATTTTGTATTTTTGATATTTTTGATATTATTAAAGGTGTTATATAATCATGTATTGTTTAAAAAAATTAGATACCTAGGGGAAAAAAAAATAAAGTCATCACTTCAGCAAAGTTTGGATGTAACTAAAATGGCCCATGGAAATCCCTCAGGAAGACACACCCCAGGTTGGAGCTGACACCTAGTCTCTCATACACTCAACACAACCTCTTCTTCTCCTTCCAGCATCACGGCCGATGGCACATCAGTTTGTTCAGCGAATGTGATGCAGTAGATGGTCACCATCTAAGGACCATGGATGAAAAATTTACATGTCTCTACATTTCCACATATCAAAATCAGATTCGGTATGAGGAGGCTTAAGAATGGCGTACACAGGAGGGACAGAGTCACAGCCTTCACTCAGTGGGGATCAATTTAGGAAAGAAGTTCATTAAGTGGAATTTCTTGAACAAATACCATGAAAAGGAGGAAGAGGGGACTGTTACAAATTAAGGAGCCATACAGCCAAATGTAAGAGCTGAACTTATTTGGATCCCAATTCAAATAAATCAACAGAAAAAAACAAATTCTGAGACAATCAGATATATATATGTATATATCTCTGAATCACTATGCTGTGCGCCAGAAATTAACACAACAGTGTAAATCAACTATACTTCAATTAAATAAAATCATTTTAAGAAAAAGAGCAGGTACATATTGAAATAGCTCTCATTCTGAAACATAAGTGACTTTATAAGATCACCCAGCCAGTTTCAGGCCAGGACTGAAACTATGAATCTTTCACCAAGATTGTTAGCAAAGAACGAATGTCCGGTATAGGAATACAAGATACGTTCTTTCCTCTCTTCCATTTTAAAGCACAATTCTTGTTTTGGAGCCACAATTAATCACTTATTTTTAACAGGCTTTCAAAACTATACCACCCAAAAATAACTTCTATATTAAGAGCTGTTACTCTGATACTGGCTCCTTGGTTTTAAAATCCAAGCATCACTTTCTGAGCTCCGTAAGGAGTTCTAAAACACCATTAAAAAAATGCACATCTTTGGTTCTGTCATTCAAAAGCAATATACACTAGTTGTATGAAAATCCTCCTTCCTATGTTTTTTTCCAAATTGCTTTATCTCTGATTGTGGCTCTTTTTTTTTTTCCTATTCCTACCTTGCATAGATTTTTTTTCCCCCAATTCCTGTTACTTTTTGTTTTTAATTCCAAATGGTAGCAACTTCTCATGGGAAATCAAAAGAACAAGTTTCCCATGTCACTATAAAGGCAGCGCATCAACATTATTTGTACTGTAAAGCTTCAACCTCAGCACTGAAACTGACATTTGGGGACAGGAAATTCTTTGTGGTGGGTGTTTTTCTGTGCGATGTGGGATGGCCAGCAGCGTCCCAGAGCCTGCCCCGCCATAGGCCAGAAAGCATCACAAGTGTGACAACTGAAAAGAGAAAAAAAAAAAAAGGCATCCCCCAGATGACTTTGGGGGGCAAAAATCACTTGTTGAAAACCACTGGTATATAGTTCACAATGAAAACAAAAATCTTAGTACAATCAGCTCTGTGGAAAATACAAACTGTTATATAAGAACTTGACAGGATAAGCGCACCATCAAAAAATCCCATTACCAGAAAACATGGGCTGGAAATAAAAAGAAGAATTGAAATTTAAAGCATTCTAAACATAGTAAAAGAAAGGCAAAGGTTTGTGTTCATTGCATTTCTTTCTTCCTCTACCTCCACAGATACTTTAATGTACTGTGTTTTGGAAGAAGTCTATGGTTTGTTAACAGTATCTGTGAAACTGAATCCCCCTAAAAACTAGTTCCCTTACGGAGTTCATGATGAATCTCTCCATCTAAAATTCTACTCCTTTTCTGGTCACCTCTGGCCGCAATCCAGTGCTAACTAATACTTACCAACCAGTTAGAGAACTAAAATGACTAATGTTGATAACATCGTTGATGTAGTAAGACTGCTGTAGGTACCATCAACAAACTCAGGGTGTTTCTCCAGGGCAAGAGATCACAGGCCCCCAGCTATGGATAACCTGGCCAGATAATCACAAACCAGAGGCATTCTGACTCCCAGAAGCACGACTCAGAAATGTCACAGGATGATGGTTAATCCCGGCACCTTTGTTCTTCCCCTTTAAAGGGAAAAAAAAAAACCCTAGCTCTAGGGAGTGGATCTGAGACTTGTCTCCCTCTCCCCCTTGCTTGGCGCCCTGCAACAAATCCTTACTTTGCTGCAAACACCCGCTGTCAGACGAGTTTGGCTTTTCTCGATCACACTGCAGCAGAGGGAAATAAGTGAAAAGAATTCTACCTAATTGCAAAGCAAATAAATCTGAACCCTCAGCCGGGGCTTTTCGCCTTTCCTTCCGCCTACTATGTAAACAAAGAGCCACCCTTAAGTACTTTCACTATAGAAAATAAACCTGGGTTCCACATACAGGATGAATAAATCTGTTGTCTGAATGATTTCTTGAAGAGAAATTGTTGTTAGATCCAGAAATCACTGTTACTCTGAGCCATGTATTTCCATTCCGTTCCAAGGTCAATCCCAAATAAACATATATTATATATTAAAAACTATCTTCATACACAATTAAAATTTCCACTGCTATGTCCAACAATGCTTACATTTTGTGTTTTATATATATATTTTTTGTTTGTTTGTTTGTTTACATTTACCCATGTTTCCATTCAAAAAGAAACAGGACGTCTGCTATGGTTTGGTTGCAAGTGGTCCTTTGGGAAAAACACTCACCATTTATAAGATTTAAAGCTCTAGAGAATTTAAATTTCTCTATCAAGGAATTTAAGATTCTTGAAACAAAAGGCAGTCTTACTCATCATCTGTTTCCTGCACTGGAAGCGTTGAGTCTCCAAAGATGTGTATTGAGTAAATGACCTCTTCTGATCTTGACAGCTGTACACACATAGATCTCATAATTGGCAATTAGCATATACAACCTAAAATCTGCTTTATTTTTTATGATCGACATCTTTCATTTCAATTTTCCACAAACCCACCTGGCTCACCACACTGGTCACGTTAATGGCAATGCTATCTCTCACTTTACTGCCATTCCACAGACTGCTTACTCTCACCTCTTAAGCAGCTGGGATTGGAACGTCTATTCATGACAAGATTCCGATGTGTCAATGAACGTGGTACAGGCTCTCCAGGGCTCTACTCGAGGAGCTACTAAAGGAAGAGGGGTGGGGGGGAACCCTCTGAAAATGAGTTAAACCATAAAGAAATCTCACTAAAAGGAAAATGTGTTAAAGGGAAAGAGGCATTTCCCATGTACAGGGATGGGTTTTTGTCCTACAATATGACAAATGTCTGGGAGGTGGCATCCTTTCTACTTATTGTAAGCTGAAAAACTCTAATTCTTAGGTTAAAATCAATATAAACAGATACAAAAACAACCACATGTTTAAAAACTGAAGAAATTGAATGAATGTCTCAGATTCCCAAATTTACTCTTAAAAAGATGTGTTACCCTACACCTGATCACTTTGGGAAAAGGATCTGACTAAAATAACACTGTCGCAAAATGAAAAATAAACTACAATATCTTGATATGTAAACAAGACTATGCAATTCAAAGTGTAACTCAAATTTGGTTGCGTCCACACTGGTCCCATTCAAAGGTAGGGTCATGGGGGGGTTAGTTACTGTGATACTAAGAGGACTAGATTTACTTGTGAGGCAGTCCCGTACGACTGACGCAAAGGATGGCTCCAAGACCCTAAGACTCTACCATATACTAAGAATCAGAGGGAAAAAAACCAAAAGGAAGAAATATCATGAGGCTATCTGCATTTGAGCCTGTGGCTATTTCAAAAAAGTTTCCAGTTACATAAACCTTGCATCTTGGAGGGGATTCTATAATAAACCAGGATTTTTAACAAAAAAAAATTAATATAAAGTCAACTTTGATAAGAGAAAATTTAAAGTGTGTTTTGAAAACTGTCTTGGAACCTAGCAACTTGTTCTGTACTTATTTTAGTTGTAAATGTTTTTGTTTTCTACATAAAAGTGTGAAACCCAAATTATCCTTAAATTTAAAAGACTACATCCTCCTTTGTAGCACCAACGCAAACATACCAAATTCAAATAATCCACAGGCACCTAAAATCAAAATTAGTATGAACCTAAGTTCTTACCATGAGCTTCTTTTATAGTGATTCACCATGAGTAAGCTTTAAAATTCATTTCCTCTAGAATTCTGGTTTAAAAAAAAAAATTCTAGACCTGCACATCACAATTACTACCTTAAAAGAGAAAATGGGATGAGGTTTCATACCAGATTCCTTTTGTTATTTTTCACAATGATACAAAATTACCTTTGTTAGCCCCAGCTTAAAAAAAAAAGTTTACTGTAAGTGTCAGCTTTGTGGAATTTATACTGCATTTCTTCATTGACACAATGTTCTAAATGGTAACAGAAATCCTATTGAAACCTATTTAACTCCTAGTGTAACTGATGTGTGGGTGGTACTTACTCAGTACTTAAATTCCTCTTTTTCATTAGGGGAAAGCATTTTCAGTGCATGTTTTAAACATCCTGTATTGCAAAAATTCAGTCAGCTGACTTCGGAAGAACATTCCCGTAGGGAAACATGAGTTGACTCACCGCAGACTATTACAGAAGCCTCTTAACTGGTCTCTCCCGGCCTCTCTCTCCCTCCTATAGTCTACCCTCCACTGGGTAGCCAATTATATTAACCTCAAATCCAATTACCACACACCCCTACTTAAAAACCTGGTTGCCCAAAGAACTTGCTACAGGGTAAAGTCCAAACCCCAGGGTCACAGAAGACTCTCCCCAACTCACCTTATCTTTCCCCTGCCTCCCCTTCATTGAAAACTGCCTGGCGCTATTCCCATCATTCCCTAACAAATCATGTCCTTTCACCCCTCTGTACTCTTGCAAAAACTCTCTCTTCTGCTTAGCATGCATTCGTATTCCTTTACTTGACCATTTCCCTATATAGATCAATACAAATACCACTTTCTAGATGAAGCCTTCCCCAACATCCCTCAAAGAGACTTAGTACCTTTGGTCACGCTGTGCCCCTCCACAAGCACTGACCTCAGGGTTTACAGGAGTTTGATAAACGCTGACTAACTTTTGAAAGCATATACATTTTGAAATGAGGAACTGGTCATAAACTATTACAGCCACAGTGAAAAAATAAATGCATATTCCAACTATCTATATGCAGGTATGTAATAATCCATACATAAACATTAAAATTAGTCTTATTTATAGTATTTGCAAACAGAATCATGGATTACTAAAATTCCAGATGTGTAAACTTCCCCTTAAATGTTGGTAAAAGTTAACTAGTGGAGAATACCACAACAAAAATAGTCTTCACCAGAAAAGATCTGGTAGCTTCCCATTCAATAAAGTTTCAGCACTGAGAGCCTCAAAATGCCCGCAATGGGGCAAATTTACTTAACTGAAAAAGAATAAACCAAAGATAAGAAAATAACTAATTAGTTTCCTGAAGGTCGGCAGTCCTGCATTGAAACCTCGCATCATCACCTTTGAACAACTCTCAAGACTACGATTTAGCAGAGACCCCCATTCTCCATCACACTCAATGTCTGATAAAGAAACTACAGCCATACAAACAATAATTTAGTACAGGAGCCAAAACAAATAAAGAAGTTGTTCCCAGAAAGAAGCTAGAATTTAGTGACCGGTTTCCACTAGGTTTGGGCATGTCCAATGTAAATACCTTACATATTCAAGGGAAGTTTCACAATTCAAGTGATTTTACATAAATGATTTGCTTCTTACGGCAATCCTGTGAGTTAAGCAGAGCAAGGATTGTCTGGATTTGAGACATTACGAACCCAAGAAAAACGAAAATAAAAGACTGGCTATAGAAATAAATGTAGCACTTCGTTCCCAAAAAAGTATTCTTACTACAACAAAATGGCCCGAGAGAAATAAGCAATCTTCCCCACCCCCCTTCTTTATTCTATCGCTAAATTTAGCTCTGTGTACCTCCGGGTGACTCCGCTAATGAACTGGACATCAAAAATTCAAATCATGACAACCTGGAGCAAAAGTTCCATCTCCCGGCCTCATTTACACTACAAGCAACACCGAGCTCCATTTATCAGAGCACTTCTCAAACCCTAGGCGTGCACCCAGCCTCCAAGGCTCTCAGCCGAGTCCCCGAGGTCAGGGTCCCGAGTCGCCCAGGGAGGGTCTGGGGACCCAGCTTTGCACGAGATGGGGGTAGGGCGCACCGCCAAAGGCTCTGCCCAGCAGGAGACGGAGGACGAGGAACCCCAGAAGGGTTTGGGGGTCCCGAGCACTGTCCTCACACGGCTGAGCAGCTCCGCCTCCCCGACTCCAGGTCCGGTCGCCAGGCCAGGCCCCTCCACCCCCAGGCACCACAGGGTGACTCCAAGCATCCCAGCCCTAGGAAACAAAAATCCCGAAGGTCTCCAGGGGCGGACACCCACCTGACCGAGCCCCACCGAGGGCTGGGCTCACTAAGCCCAACAACAGCAGCCACTGGAAGTGGAGGGTCCCAGAGGGCGCGCTCGATCCCATCTCGGCCGGAGTCCTCGACAGGTTCCACTAAACACTCGTCGCCCCCACCCCCGCCCGCTCCACCGCTTCCCAGCCCCGCCGGGGCCCCAGAACTGGCAGCGAAGCGCGCGCTCGGCACTGACGCAACTCGGCCCCGGTCCGAGCTCGCTCCCGACACGGCGCCGGCTGCACTGACGTAGGGAGAAATCCGTCCCCGGCGGGAAAATGGGATTTCTATCCGGACGCGGAGACCCGCACCACTCCGCCCGGCGCGTCACCCTCCGCCCCGCCCGGGCCCGCCTCCGCCCCGCCGAGGCCCGCCTCCTTCGGGTATCGAGAGAACCCATTGGAGGAAGCGCTCGGCGCAAAAGAAGGCGGAACTTCAGGTCCAGAAGCGGAATTGAGAGGCTGTAGCGAAGAGCAGCACCGCCCCTGCGCAACCTTTTCTGATTGGTTGGTGGGGTTGACGGGGTCCAGCTGCGCTCCCATTGGCTGTTTGGCGGCGAGGAGAAGGGGCTACGCGGAAAGGCCTGACGGCACAGAGCTTGGGGTCGGCTGTGCCGGTCCGGGTTTGCGGTTAAAGCTGGGTCTCCGCCACTGGGCCTGGGAAGATGGTGCTGGGGGGTTGCCCGGTGAGTTATTTACTTCTGTGCGGCCAGGCGGCTTTGCTGCTGGGGAACCTACTTCTGCTGCACTGTGTCTCTCGGAGCCATTCGCACAACACCACCGCCGAGCCCGAGCTCACATCCGCTGGCGTCGCCCACCCGGAGGGCTCCCCCGGCGCGGCGAGCTGGGAATATGGCGACCCCCACTCTCCAGTCATCCTTTGCTCTTACCTGTAAGCTGCCCAGTCGTCGAGGCGGGTGGAGATGGAGATGGGGCCTGGGATGCAAGGGTGTTGTGCGGGGAGAGGAGGGGAGGGAGGCTGCATTTTTTCTCCCTAAACCCTCTTCACCTGAGGACCTGATAGGCAACACCTGGGAGGTAAATAGCGTGGCAGGTTTCTCAGTCCTCTCACCCATGCAGGGAAAAGCCCTGTGTGTTGGTAGCAGATCGTTCAGGATCCCCAAAGAGGAGAACTAGGGAGAAGTGACATGTAGACACCGGAAGAAGGGTACGAGATTGTGGCTTCTTTGTCCTACTCCCTTTAACCGGAGAAGCCGACGCAGGTGCTGGTACTGAGGCCACAAATGGAGTTAATTACTTGTCCCTACAAGGCACTTCCTTTAAAATGTATATATATTATATACACGCGGGTATATGTATGTGTGTGTGTGTGTGTGTGTATATATGTATCTCCTTACCATTGCAAAACCAAGTCAAAAAAATTTTTATTGCAGTATAGTCAGTTACAGTGTATCAGTTTCTGGTGTACAGCATGTCCCAGTCATGCATGTGTATGTGTATATATATACACATATATATATGCACATATATATATTTGTTTTCATATTATTTTTCATTAAAGGTTGTCACAGATACTGAATATAGTTCCCTGGGCTATACAGCAAAAATTTGTTTTATCTATTTTTATATATAGTGGTTAACATTTAAAAATCTCAAACTCCCAAATTTATCACTTCCCACCTCCTTTCCCCCAGTAACCATAAGATTGTTTACTGTCTGCGAGTCTGTTTCAGTTTTGTAGATGAGTCCTTTAGTATCCTCTTTTCTCTTTTTTCAATATTCCACATATGAGTGATAGATGGTATTTTTCTTTCTCTTGCTGGCTTGATTCACTTAGAATGATGACCTCCAGGTCCATGTTTCTGCAAATGGCATTATTTTGTTTTTTATCTCTGAGTAGTATTCCATTGTGTATATACCACAACTTCTTTATCCAGTCATCTGTTGATGGACATGTAGGTTGCTACCATGTCTTGGCTGTTGTATTTAGTGCTGCTGTGAAGATTGGGGTGCATGTGTCCTTTCGAATTAGAGTCCTCTCCAGATATATGCCCAGGAGTGGGATTGCTGGATCATAGGGTAAGTCTATTTTTAGTTTTTTGAGGATTCTCCACACTGTTTTCAAAAATGGCTGCACCAAACTGCATTCCCACCAACAGTGTAGGAGGGTTCCCCTTTCTCCACAGCCTCTCCAGCATTTACTGTTAGTGGACTTTTTAATGATGGCCTTTCTGACTGGTATGATACCTCATTGTAGTTTTGATTTGCCTTTCTCTGATAATTAGTGATATTGAGCATTTTTTCATGTGCCTATTAGCCATTTGTATGTCTTCATTGGAGAATTACTTGTTTACGTCTTCTGCCCATTTTTGGATTGGGTTGGGTTTTTTTTAATTATTAAGTTGTATGAGCTGTTTATATATTCTGGAAATAAAGCCTTTGTCAGTCACATCATTTGCAAATATTTTCTTCCATTCTGTATGTTGTCATTTTGTTTTGCTTATGGTTTCCTTTGCTATGCAAAAGCTTGTGAGTTTAATTAAGTCCTATTTGTTTATTTTTGCTTTCATATCTATCGCCTGGGTAGACTGCCCTAGGAGAACATTGCTAAGATTTATGTCAGAGAATGTTTTGCCTGTGTTTTCTTCCAGGAGATTTATATTGTCTTTCTTATATTTAAGTCTTTAAGCCATTTTGAGTTTATTATTCTGTGTGATGTGCTGGAGTGTTCTAACTTCACTGATTTAATGGGGCTGTCCAGTTTTCCCAACACCAATGCTGGAGAGATTGTCTTTTCTCCATTGTATACGCTTGCCTCTTTTGTCAAAGATTAATTGAGAATACATCTGTGGGTTTATTTCTGGGCTTCCTATTCTGTTTCATTGATCCATATGTCTGTTTTTGTACCAGTACTGTGTTGTTTTAATTATTGTAGCTCTGTGGTATTGTCTGAAGTCTGGGAGGGTTTCTCCTCCAGCTTCGTTCTTTTTCTTCAGTATTGCTTTGGCAATTCTGGGTCTTTTGTGATTCCATGTAAATTTTGGGGTTACTTGTTCTAGTTCTTGAAAAATGTCCTGTGTAATTTGATAGGGATCACATTAAATCTGTAGATTGCCTTCAGCAGTATGGCCATTTTAACAATACTGATTCTTCCAACCCAAGAGCATGGGCTATCTTTCCATTTCTTCAAGTCATCTTTAATTTCCTTAATCAGTGTTTTGTAATTCTCCATGTATAAGTCTTACACCTACTTGGTCAGATTTATTCCTAAGTGTTCTATTGTTTTGGATGTGATTTTAAAAGGGATCGTTTCTTTACTTTCCTTTCCTGACATTGTATTGTTAGTGTAAAGAAATGCAACTGATTTCTGTATGTTAATCTTGTATCCTGCTACCTTGCTGAATTCTTTTGTCAGCTCTAGTTGTTCTTGCGTGGAGCTCTTAGGGTTGTCTATATATAGTATCATCCGCATATAGTGACAATTTTACATCTTCTCTTCCAATTTGGATCCCTTTTACTTTTTCTGTTGCCTGATTGCTGTGGCTAGGACTTCCAACACTATGTTGAATAGAAGTGGTGCGAGTGGGCAGCCTTGTCTTGTTACAGGTTTTAGTGGGAAGGCTTTCGGTTTTTCACCATTGAGTATTATGCTAGCTGTGGGTTTATCATAAATTGCTTTTATTATGTTGAGATATGTTCCCTCTATACCCAGTTTGGTAAGAGTTTTTATCATAAATGGGTGTTGAATTTTGTTAAGTGCTTTTTCTGCATCTATTGAGATGATCATGTGATTTTTGTCCTTTCTCTTGTTGATGTGATGTATCACATTGATTGATTTGCATATGTTGAACCACCCTTGTGTCCCTGGGATGAACCCAACTTGATCATGGTGTATAATCTTTTTTATGTGCTGTTGGATTCTGTTTGCTAATATTTTGTTAAGGATTTTTGTATCTATGTTCATCAGTGATATTGGCCTTTTTTTGGTAGTGTCTTTGTCTGGTTTTAGTATCAGGGTGATGGTTTGGGAGTATTCCCTCCTCTTCAATCTTTTGGAAGAGTTTGAGAAGGACTGGTATGAGTTCTTTGTATGTTTGGTAGAATTCCCCAGTGAAGCCTTCTGGTCTTGGACTTCTGTTTGCAGGGAGGCTTTTTATTGCTAATTCTATTTCATTTGTATTGATTGGTCTGTTCCAATGATCTGTTTCTTCTTGATTCAGTTTTGTTGGACTGAAACAATGCAATGTTTCTAGAAACTTGTCCATTTCTTCTAAGTTGTCTGATTTATTGCCATGCAGTTCATAGTATTCTCTCATGATTTTCTGTATTTCTGTGGTATTGATTGTAATTTCTCCATTTTCCTTTCTTATTTTTTTTTTAACTTGTGTTCTCTCTCTTTTCTTCATTGTGAGCCTGGCCAGAGGTTTGTCAATTTTGTTTACTCTTTCAAAAAACCAGCTCTTGGTGAGATTGATTTTTTCCTATTCTTTTTTTAATGTCTATTTTATTTATTTCCTCCCTGATCTTTATTATTTCTTTCCTTCTGCTGACATTAGGTTTTGTTCTTCTTTTTCTAACTTTTTTAGGTGGTAGGTTCGGTTGCTCATTTGAGATTGTTCTTGTTTTTGAGAAAGGCCTGTACCACTAGGAGCTTCCTTCTTAGGACTGTTTTTGGTGCATCCCATACATTTTTGTGTAGTTGTGTTTTCACTGTCGTTTGTCTCAAAGTATTTTTTAATTTCTTCTTTGATTTCATCACTGATCCATTGGTTTGGGGGGGGCATATTGTATAATCTCCATGCTGCTGTTTTTCTTCTCCTTTGTTTTTCTGTGGTTGATTTCTGGTTTCATGACATAGTGGTCAGAAAAGATGCTTGAAATAATTTCTATCCTCTCAGATTTGTTGAGGCTTCTTTTGTGCCTGAGTGATTGGACATGACCTATCTTAGAGAATATTCCATACACACTTGGAAAGAATGTATATTCTGTTTTGGGGGGATGTAGTATCCTAAAAATATCAACCAAGTTCAGCTGTTTGATTGTGTCATTTAGTTTCTCCATTGCCTTACTGATTTTCTGTCTGGAAGATCTATCCAATGATGTTAATGAGGGATTCAAGTCTCCTACTATGATTGTGTTCCCATCAATTTCTCCTTCTATATCTGTTAGTATTTGCTTTATGTATTTAGGTGCTCCTATATTGGGTGCATATATGTTAAGGAGTGTAGTATCCTCATCTTTTATTGCTCTGTTAATCGTTATGTAGTTTCTTTCTTTATCTTTCTTTATGGACTTTGTTTAAACTCTTTTTTGTCTGAAATCAGTATTTGCTTTCTTGTGGTTTCCATTCATTCTCTCGTTTCGATCTATGTGTGTCCTTTACCCTAAAGTGAGTTTCTTGTATACAGCATATTGTAGATTCTTGTTTTATTATCCAATCTGGAACTCTGTCTTTTGACTGGAGCATTTAGTCCGTTGACATTTATGGTAATTATTGATAAAGGTGTGTTTATTGCCATTTTGAACTTAGTTTTCCAGTTGATTTGGTATTTCTTATTTGTTCCTTTCCCTTTTTCTTTCTGTGGTTTGATAAAAATTTTTTTGTATTATCTTGGTTTCTTTTTGGGTTTTGTGACTCTATGCTTTTGGTTTGTGGTTACCATGTTTTTAAAGTATGCTAACCCATTACTATATCAGTTTGCTTTAAACCAGTAGTCATGTAAGCTCAAACACATCCTAAAAAGAAAGAAAAAAGTATATATTTTCTTGCTCCCCTCTCCCATCTTTAATGGTTTTGATGTCCTCTTTTACATCTTCATGTTTATTCTATTGCAATTCATTGTAGTTATCACATTTCCAATTATGATTTTCTCCTTTCTATAGTTTCCTGCTTCTTTTCTATTTAAAGTAGACCTTCCAGTATTTTGTTTA